AACCAGTTGCCAAGCATCTGAATTTTGATCACATGATCATGACGATGCTGGAAATGTCATAACTGTGAAAAATGGTCATGTCACCTTTTCCAATGCTGCTGTAACTTTGAAAGGTCACTAAGTGAACTGTTGTAAGTTGAGGACTACCTGTACTCTAGGACTTTAGAATTCCACCAGACATTCACCTGCCACATAATACCCCAAATTTGATGATAAAGACAAAAAAAAAAAACAAACCTTTGGATAATGGATGTGGCAGTACCTGGAAACACTGGAATGGAAGAGAAAGAACTGGAGAAAAATCACAAAATACAAATAGAAGTAGAACAATGGTGACCAAAGGAAAAAAAAAAGAATAGTACCAATAATAATAGATACCTTGGATGCCCAAAACATCTGGAGCACCACTTGAACATCATTGGGACTGACAAAATCCCCATCAGTCAATTGCAAAAAAAGGCAACCTTACTCAGAACAGCTTACATTCTGCAAACAATATTTTGACACTGTCAACCATCCAGATTCTATCTCAGATTCTTGGGAAGGACTCAAGAGGTGGACAAAATCTCCAAATTCAGTCTTCACACAGGGTTGATTGTGTGGCCAACCATAATAATAATGTGTTATTTAGTAGTTTAAATGTAATTTATTAAAATTGTTCTTCTCAGTGTTTCATGTCTATGGAGATTCTCATCCAAGTGTCATGCACCTGGTGGAGACTGACTCTGAGGGAGAGGAGGAACAGCTGACAGGAAGTGGAAGTGTGGCTCCGGAGGTTGTGGAGGAGGCTGGGGAAGGGCAGAGGCCGGCTGAGCAATCAGAGGAGGACCCAGGCCCATCCCCTCTCCATCCTAGGGCACGCAGGGAGGAGAGGATAAGGGAGAGACGTGGTCTACTCGGGAGGAGAAGGCCATGATCCTCTTCATGGGCTGCAGCTGTGACAACTGAATAAGAGGACGGACATGCGTACAGGTGAGCGCTGGAAACAAAGCATGGAAATATCTCTAGTTTATGGTTCTTCTCTGAGTTTGGCATCCTTCCCAGTGTGTCTTCTGTTATCTTGCGGGCGTCCTCTAGCCCTTATCTTGCTTGGTTTGTGTTGTTTTTTTCCCTCCTTCTTGTAACTGTTTGTGTGGGAGTTTTTTGTCTTCTGTCAAGGATATTCGGAGCTTGGAAGCAAAGTGAAGGAATAAAAGGGGCTTCATCTGTTTTCTGTGACTGTGTTTGTTTTGTATCCCACCCTGGGTCATCACACAAGTAGCTTCTTGCATGAAAAATGAAACAACTTCAAAGAAAAACCAGAAAGTCCAGTTGCCTTTTGAAAAAGCACCTTTGGGACTACCATGACCTGGATGACTGAAGATCTCCATAGACATTCAACTATGCACTTTGGAATGAACACCCTTTGAATGATGCAGGAGTAGGAATGGATGTCCAGAAAAAACTACAGACTACAGGAACCATTTGCACTTCAGTTTGAGATACAGACCACACAGACTCATCCCCAACAGCCTGCACGTGTGCTCAACAGTGAAGGGACACGGGGCAGAAAACATCCTGCAGAAAGCACAGTTCCAACTTCTCAATGAAAAAGAGCTGAAGAAGCTTCTTGGATGCACCATAGAGAGTATCTTAACTTACTGCACATCTGTGTATGGTTTGCCAGTTGCACAGTGGCAGATAGGACAGCATTCCAGGGAGTTAACCTCATTGCCCAGAAGATCATGGGTTGCTCTCTCCCCTCTTTGGAAGAGCTTTATAGCTCCCGCTGCCTTAAGAAAGTTCAAAACATTCTCAAAGATCCATCTCATCCTGGGAACCCTTTTTCTTTTGAACTATTACCATCTGGCAGACGGTACAGGATAATAAAAACAAGGACAAATTGGCTGAAAAACAGCTTCTATCCCAGGGCAGTAACTCTTATTGAATTCTACTGTATTGTGCAATATTAATGCAATATCAGGGTTTTTCAATTCAATGTATAGAATGTGAAGGATGTGTGTTTGTGTTTTATTATCAGTCATAAAGTACACTGAAGATGGTATTTAATTTTGTTGCGTGAGGTGTGATGACAATAAAATAAAGAGAAATGAAACATTTTCAAAGAAAACCAAAAAGTCCAGTTGCCTCTTGAAAAAGCACCTTTGGGATTCTCAGCGTTTCCTGGGCTCCCAATGGGCTTCATAAGAGGATGGTTTTGAAAAGATAGGAGGCTGGGCAAACAAGTTTCCGATGTCAACTATATTTCCAAGAATGATCCTTTTCTACATGACTACAAGTATGCTTTTTTAGAGCATAAAAATAACTGGATGCATGCCAGTTTACCTGGAAAATGAGCAAATATAGCTCTTTGCAAGGCACTTAAGCCTGAAAAAAATTACATATTTCTCCAATTCCTTCATACAACGGGAAAAGTAAATTGAAATATCCATTTTTACCACAACATTTTGGTTCAACTCTTGAAACCTAAAGAGAATAAATTACTCACATTTGGGCTTAGAGCTGAATTTCTGAGCTGACCATTTCCATCTGTGTAGCACTAGCACTTTGACTTATATACCACTTTACGGCGCTTTACAGCCCTCTCTAAGCAGTTTAGAGAGTCAGCCTGTTGCCCCCAACAATCTGGGTCCCCATTTGACCCACCTCCAAAGGATGGAAGTCTGAGTCAACCTTGAGCCTGGTGGGATCTGAACTGCAAAATTGCAGGCAGCTGGCTGTCAGCAGAGGTAGCCTGCAATACTGCACTCTAATCACTGTGCCACCATGGCTCATGTAGTTGTTTATGCCTTCTGCTTTATCCCTCAAATTATTTACAATGCAACAGTTTTCAGTTCTGGACACTGACTGTAAGAGAGCTCCTCTTAATCCCATGCAAAGCCAAATAAATTATTTTTAAAGAGCAAAACCATTCTTGCTTGGTTTTCCAAAGCATGCATTTTAAAATTCATATTGCATAACCGAAGGGAAGAAAAAACTATTTGCTTGCCACATCAACCTAATTTAAAACCGTATTTGGTGAGAGAGTTTTATGCCAAGGTGCCTAGCATCAAAGCAGCTTCCAGGGAATCTGGACAAAAGCCAAAATCCAAGGAGCAGATGGTCAATTAAACAATAGAACCATTTACTTAAATTCCAACAGTTAGAAGAGGTTACTGGGGAGACGACAGGCAATTGAAGTTTCGGAGAGGATAAATAAAGGAAGACCCCACCCCTGTTTGCATAGAATTTAGAAATAGGTACTGCCTTTAAGTACTTGAGCGTAGAATTGGAATACGAGAAACATATATTTTCACAGCACAACAAATTTGTGGAATTCCTGTTTTGCAAGAAAGATTACTTAAATAGATATTAAAAGGCAGGAGTTTAATCATACAATGGAGTGATCATCCATCAACAATATATACAGGTAACCCCTGACTTACAACCACAGTAGGGACCAGAGTTTCTGTTGCTAAGGTAGGTGCTCATTGAATGAGTTGCACCCAATTTTACAATCATTTTTTCCATAGCAATAGCACCAGTTGGCAATAGCATCAGTTAGCAAGACTTATATACTGCTTATATACTGCTTCACAGTGCTTTTACAGCCCTCTCTAAGCAGTTCACAGAGTAAGCATGTTGCCTCGGACATTCTGGGTCCTCATTTTACCCACCTCGTAAGCAGGGGTGGGATTCAAATTTTTTAACAACCGGTTCTGTGGGCGTGGCTTAGTTGGTGGGTGTGGCTTGGTGGTCAAATGACTGGGTGGACATGGTTTGGTGGTCATGTTATTGGCTGGGCGTGGCCAACTCAATATCACTCACATTGAGGCACGCATCTTCTCGCTTGGCCTCTCATGACTGTGGGGATGCTGCAACAGTCGTAAGGGTGAAAAATGGTCATAAGTCACTTTTTTCAGTGCCATTGTAATTTTGAATGAGCACTCCACATAAGCAAAGTACCAGCAAAGGAGGGGAAAAAACTCCAGAGAGGTTCCTGAGACAGGAAGTCTAGTCTTGCCAAGAATGTAATAAGGGTTAATGGAGAGGCAGTTTCTGTAAGCAACACCAGAATGTTTCCTTCCTGCCTTCCTTACAGGATTAGGCCAGTAATTTCTTCTAACAACTGGTTCTCCGAACTGCTTAGAATGTTAACAAACGGTTCTAGCGAATAGGTGCGAGCTCGTAGAATCCCACCCCTGCTCGTAAGGATGGAAGACTGAGTCAGCTTTGAGCCAGTCAGAATTGAACTGCTGGCAGCTGCCAGTCAGCAGAAGTAGGATTGAACTCCAGGCTGTGGGCAAAGTGAGCCTGCAATACTGCATTTTAATCACTGCGCCACCAGAGCTTCTAATAGCACTAGTGATAGCACTTAAGACTTAAATGCCGCTTCACAGTGCTAAGCAGTTTACAGAGTCAGTATCTTGCCCCAATAATCTCGTCTGTCATTTTACCGACCTCGGAGGATGGAAGGCTGAGTCAATCTTGAGCTGGTCAGAATCGAACTGCTGGCAGACGGCAGTCAGCAGAAGTAGCCTGCAGTTCTTCATTCTAACCACTGTGCCACCACAGCTCAGTTATTAAGCAAATCACTGCAGTTAAGTGAATCTTGCATTATTAAATGAATCCAGCTGCTCTCATTGATTGGAAGCTGACTGGGAAGATTGCAAATGGTGATCATGTGATCCCAGAACTCTTCAACCATCATAAATACATACCATTTGCCAAGAGCCTGAGCTCTGATCATGTGACCCTGGGAATATTGCAATGGTTGTATGTGTTTGGACTGGTTATAAACCCCTTTGTTCAGGATTGTTGTACCTTCAAATGGTTGCTAAACCAATGGTTGTAAGTTGAGGATTATCTGTATAACTAAATAGCAATAGCAACAGCACTTAGACTTGTATACCGCTTCACAGCCCTCTCTAAGCAGTTTTACAGAGTCAACCTATTGCCCCCAACAATCTGGGCTGTCATTTTACCGACCTCGGAAGGATGGAAGGCTGAGTCAACCTTACCTGTTGAACAATGGTAGTGAGTTCTAAGCAGAGCTGAACAATATTATTTTTCAGCAGTGAGTATTCTGTCACACTGACAAATGGAGACCTATGGAAAAGAGAGAATTTTAACATCTGAGTTCATTTATCACTGATAATTCCTGTAATAAGACAAGCTTTATTAACAATTTGTCCTAGTCAACAAATGGTGAGGAATGAACCTTGAAAACATAGATTTGTTCCACTTGGTAGAGTGTCAATAGAAATATGTCAACATAATCATCATCAAGAAATTGGTTAGAAAAACCTCTTAAGCAGTTTCACCTTTGCCTTCTACAATATTGCACTGAGAGTAAGCCTGAACCCCAGATGAAAATCAGCTGGATCAGATTCAAGTCAAATTCTGTGGGTTCAGTTGCAAATCTTTATAGCACAACCTATGTTACAATAAGAAGCCTTCTGCTCCTACTCCATGAGTGTGAGGGTGGGACTGAGTGGATAGATCTGTTCTTTGATTGGTTAGTTTTTATCCCACCTTTTCTTCTTATCTTATATCATATCTTATCTTATCTATATATAAAAGTGAAATGCCACTCAAGCATCATCACAAAATCTCCAGAACCGTAAAGGCTACAAACTTGAAATTTGGCACGTATGCTCCTCTTGGCTTCTAGGTGCTCACTAAGAAAGGATTTTTCAAAATGACCATCAGATCATTAGTATTTTGTATATTATTATTATTATTAACACGCTCTGATGCTAAGGAGTTCCACACCCCCTCCCCACCTGAAAAGAAATCTCTTCCAAATGTAAAAACACAAGCAGAGGAGTTTCAGTTTCAGTTTTAGTTTCACAGCACCAAGCAGCTTTAGTACAGAACAGTTGAGCTAAGCCACACCCAGTCTCCTTGCTCACATAGCAAATACTGTTTCAGTTTCCAAACAGCCCTCAACTCTCTCACACACTGACAGGACACTAACCAGATGAATACTGATGGATGCTGGTAGGCAGAGGCAGATTTCCCCTCCTTATTTTCCTCCCCAAAACTAAGCCCGACCACATAGTTTCGTAGCGAAGCATGGGTATCCAGCTAGTTACTTTATAAGTAACGCAAGGAAGCCAACATACTTAATACTCTTAAAAAGGTAAAGTTTTCCCCTGTCCAGCTGCATCCAAATCTAGGGTGTGGTGCTCATCTTTGTTTCTTAGCTGAGAGAGCCAGCATTGAAGAGCCATGATGGTGCAGTGGTTAGAGTGCAGTACTGCAGGCCACTTCTGCTGACTGCTGGCTGCTTGCAATTTGGCAGTTCAAATCCCACCAAGCTCAAGGTTGACTCAGCCTTCCATCCTTCCAAGGTGGGTCAAATGAGTACCCAAAATTGTTGGGGGCAATATGATGACTCTGTAAACCACTTAGAGAGGGCTGTAAAGCACTGTGAAGTGGCATATAAGTGTAAGTACTATTGCTGTTGTTTGAAAACTCTTCCATGGTCATTTGGCTGGCATGGCTACATGCCAAGGCACACAGGATGCTGTTACCTTCCCACAAAAGTGGTACCTATTTACATATCTACTTGCATTCACATCCTTTCAGGAACCAGAGCAAGGATGGGAGCTCACCCCTGCATATGGTCTTGAACCTGGGTTTTCAGCTGACAAGCTCAGTGTCTTTAACCACTGAACTATCACCCCCTCACACACAATACTCTTACCTTCTATTTTCCCCACAACAACCCTGGGATGTGGGTGGATTGAAAGAATGATTGGCTCAAAGTCTCCCAGCCAGCTTTCAAGTCCAGGGCAGGATTCGAACTTGCATTCCCCTAGTGCAAGGATCTTCAAACTTGGCCAGTTTAAGACTTGTAAACTTCAACTCCCAGAATTCCTGAGCTAACATGACTGGAGGAGGAATTCTGGGAGTTGAAGTCCACAAGTCTTAAAGCTGTCAAGTTTGAAGACTCCTGCCCTAGTGCTTGGCTCAAAGTCACCCAGCTGGCTTTCATGTCCAAGGCAGGACTAGAACTCACAGTCTTCTGGTTTCTAGACCAGCACTTTAACCATTGCACCAGATGGGATCTTCCTATGTTAACTTCTCTTCCTGGAACCCTGCTGTTTGGTCACTTATTTCAACTCCAGTGAAATATCAGAACTACTGACTTATGAGCATTGTTTTGATTTTCTCCCTTTAAATCACCAAGGTGTGCCATTTTCCAAACAGTATCCATTATTATGATAATTGTTCTGCTTTCCAGAGGAAGGATATGTAAACTGGGTGGTGAGGATTCTGCTTTACCTAGGTTCAGAGGTGGTATTCATCAGGTTCTGACCAGTTCAGGAGAACTGGTAGTGGAAATTTTGAGTAGTTCGGAGAACCAGCAAATACCACCTCTGACTGGAAATTTTACAGTATCCTTCCCCTGCCACACCCACCAAGCCATGCCCACAGAACCTGTAGTAAAAAAAAAAAAATTGAATCCCACCACTGCCTACGTTGGACTGCTGGCATTAAGCTATTTCCAGCACAACTGTCTACAATTCAGTTAATCTAATTAATTAACTGAATTAACCTAGTTCAATGAATTCAGTTACAATCCTTCACTCTTAGGATTTCAGCTCACCTGGTAATGATAACATGTAAAGCATGCAGAAAACTTCAGTTTGATTCCAAGAAAAATCCTTAAATCCTAATGCAGAGCTCTCGGCTGGATCAATCCTTAAAATGACTCAAGTCTCTAACATGGGTAAAGCATTTTTGGAGGGAATAGATAGGGAACAACCTGCTTACCAAGAAAAACTGTTATTCCCCCCACTTCAATTTAACAAATGGCAGTTCACTTTCCATGATCAATGGCAGCTTATCAGCCCTGCTGAAGAGTAGATAAGATACCTCTCAGTTGCTTCTGAGTAGCCCATAAATCTGACCACTTCAGGTTTGTCTGGATTTGCAGTTTCAAACTGGACGGTGCTAAAAATATACAGTCCCATTAATTTTTATTTCAGTAATGCCACAGAGGGAAGGAGTAAAAATCTCCCTCTTCCAGGTGTTTTTCAGAAAAAGCACCTCTGTTTTCTTCAATGGCCATAGCTTACCTTCTTTTGCATTCTGTGGCTTAATCAAATCTAGTTAGTTACTGCATTGTTTATCCAGATGGAAGATGTGATGTATTGGATAATGGCCCAAACTTTGATGCTCTTCCTCAAAATCCTGAAGTAATAATTTAAGTAAACAGTGGAACAAAGTCGAAGAGATCTTGGAGGTCTTTGGGGGGTCTAGTCCAATCCCCTGCTCAAGCATGAGATCCTGTACTTTTCTGTATAAATGGCTGTCCAATCTCTTCTTGAAGACCTCCAGTGATGGAACGCCCACAACTTCTGAAGGCAACTTCTGTTCCACTGGTTAATTGTCCTCACTGTTAGGAAGTTTCTCCTTAATTCCAAGTTGCTTCTCTCTTTGATTATTTCCAACCATTATTTCTTGTTTGTCTTGCTTCCTCCTCCTTAGGGCTGAGACAACTTTCTACCTAAGCCACTGTCTCCTGGTTGCTAGCCTGACCCCTTAACACCCCCTCCCCAAACTGGCTGTCTAATGAGCTATTAGCAATTTAAATTCTGATTTATAAATAGCTATCCACTTCTTTTTTAAGTATGTTTTATTGTAGTTCCATTATGACAACTCAAAACATCATAATTTCAACAGCATTTTTGACATCTATTCAAATTCTTACCTTATATATCTTAATACATTGTATTTACATTTATCTAACATTAATTAATATCTTTATCCATAATTGTTATTCTTATATTCTTAAATGTTCTACATATTTATCATTCATTTCCTTGCAGTCTCTTACATATTAATTTTCCTATTTTATTTCTTATTCCTGTTTGTTACCCAACCATACCATTTGTACCAAATTAAGAAATATTCAAGAGTCTTCTTTTTCTTTCAATTTCAGTGTAAGCATATTCATTTCAGCATTAGCTATCCACTTCTAATTATACAACTGCTGCATAGGGTTGGGACTGTGATTGGCTTATAAATCCAGTAAATCATCACCATCACCACTTTTCAGAGAGAGAGTTATGCATGCAAAAGATGTCAAGTTCAATCCATACCATTTCCAGTTAAGGTTGGAACAATTCCAACTTCAAACCCTGGAGAATTGTCAGCAGGCTCCATAGTATTAGAGTAAGAAACTGTGTTCCCAATCTTGGTAGTTTCCAAAAATGTGAACTTCAAGTCCCAGAAAGTTAAGCAATGGATAGCCTGGCTGGCTCCACATAGTTGGAAACTGTCATGGTTGGGAATAATATAGTAACAGAGTTGAAAGGGACCTTGGAGGTCTTCTAGTCCAACCCCCTGTTTTAGCAGGAGACCCCGTACCCTTGGCTGTCATGTCCCTCCTTAAAATTCTCCAGTGATGGACCACCTACAACTTCTGAAAGCATTCCACTGATTAATTGTTCTAACTGTGAAAAGATTTCTCCTTAGTTCTAGGTTGCTTCTCTCCTTGATTCGTTTTCACCCTTTGTTTCTTGTCTTGCCTTCTGGTGCTTTGGAGAATAGCTTGACTGACTCCCACTCTTCTTTGTGGCAGCCATTTATTTATTGGAACACTGCCATCATGTCACCCCTAGTCCTTCTGTTTTTATACATATGTATAATTATGTATGAAGTCTGTTATATGTGGAAGAATGGTTGATGAAGATGATAATGGAACTTGCAGAGATGGCTAAAGTAGCTTCTTTGATTTGGAGAAAAAACAGTTATCTACATTTATGGTTGACTGGAAGCCCTTTAGAGGCTTTTTTGCATAAAATGGCACAGATGAATTTAGATTCTGTGCTTTTGATGATTAGAAAAAAAAAATACCCCAGATAATAGTAAATAGGGCTTTCTTTTGTAATCATAGATTAAGAGGTAATTTTGTAATTATACTTATTTATTAGATTTTATCCTTCTTTATCACTTTATAAGTAACTCAAGATGGCGAACTTCACTCATACTCCTTCCTCCTCCTATTTTTCCTCCCATAATAACCACCCCAGATAACCAGTGAGTTGGGGAGAGAAAGAAAAGAGAAAAAAGAGAGAGAAAGAAAAAGAGAAAGAGAGAGTGGGGGGGGGAGCAGGCTTAAAGTTACCCAGCTGGCATTCATGCTTAAAGCGGGACTAAAACTCCCAGTCTCCTGATTTTCCTGCAAAGGAAATTGGAAGTTCATCCTGCCTATGTCTTTTTATTTTTCTTTCTTTCTGTATTTCCATTTTTTTATTTCTTCTTCCTTTATTTACTGCCTTTACTCTTATCACTTTGTGTTTCTTTTTATGTTCTTTGTAAACATTTATGAAAGAAAAGTACAAGATTTCAAATCTAGCTCCCAACTTCAAAAGGGCAGGCCTTTCTAGCGTCCAAATACTAAAATAAAAATAAAAATCCACCAGCCACAAACAAAATTGCCAAAGGGAAATGGAATGCTGAAGACAGGAGGAGAGAATGAGAACAAACATATTTGCTCCTTAAAAAAAACAAAACAGTATTCAAACTCAATTACCTGTCTAACCAGGCAAGCAAATTTTTGGCAGCACCAATCAAGTCCACGACGGAGGTAAGGAAATCATTTGGCAGTCTTCGGGAGGCCCGTCCGTCATAATGACCGCTCCTTCTTCTACCCGTGATGAAGTTTTGAAGATTTTTGGCAGATGCGTTCAGCTTGTGGGAAAGCGTTCTCAGATTTTCAGTCTCCAAGCCATAGTTCTGAAAGCAAAGGAGAAATTGGAGACATTAAAAAAAGAGGGAGGGAGGGAGGGAAGGAAGGAAGGAAGGAAAACACTGTCCAACAATTTACACTACTATTTGCACTACTATTACTATTAACCTTCTCATCACTCCTTATCACCCATCCTCTCCCACTTGTGACTGTATGACTGTAACTCTGTGGCTTGTATCCTTACGATTTATATTGACTGCTTCCTAGTGTTGTTTGATAGCTTATTATACCCTATGACTATCATTAGGTGTTGTACCTTATGATTCTTGACGAATATGCACCATATGCACCAAGACAAATTCCTTGTGTGTCCAATCACACTTGGCCAATAAAGAATTCTATTCTATTCTATTCTATTCTATTCTATTCTATTCTATTCTAT